CTTCAAAGCCATTGCAAAGGGAGGAAATGAATTCTAACTTTTTTCACTTCATTTTCACATCCTCACATTTCCTTATTTCACATGGTTTAAAACAAAATGCCTCCAGCATTATTTTTCCTTTCTCAAGAGCAAAGTGAATGTGACTTTTCTAAGGGGGTCACAGGATGCCTCTAAGGCCTGTGGGTGTTACTGGACTGCTGCCTGCTTTCAGCTTAACTGAAGGGCTTGTCATAGTTTTCATCTCCTAAGAAATTAGCCGTAGGCGCTGGCCAGAAGCAGGAGAAGGCAGCATTATGAGTCCCACGCTGGTTATTTCCCACTGACATCAAATCCTGAGGTTTTTAAATTAATCCCACACAAAGACAACCCTTCATTTCAGTGCCAGTTTGAAATTAGACTGCAATAATGACCTTTTAAAGATGTCTAGTTGTTAAGATAACCCCCTGTTGAAACTTAAAGGTAGTCATTGCACCCTGTGTTGATCAGACATAACCGATGCTTTAGCAGATTTTGTAAAGGTGACTGGAAGTCATGGCCAGTGACTTGACCTATGCTGCCAAAAGGAATGAAACTGATAGCCGACTAAGACTGCCTACCCTTGTCTCACACTAACTCTTACATCCTGAAGCCAAACAAAGGATCTTTACAAAGTTCCAGCAGTCAGCTTAGTTACAAACTAGAAGAAAAGAGGACAGACTTTAGCACCAGAAAAAGTTAATATTCAGATAGTTCAGGATGTGAATTCATATCTTATATTTGAATAAATGTTTTTATTGAAGGCAGTTGGAGAGTGCTGGGGAATTAAGTATTAACCATAACTATTAATATAAATGACTAAAGAGAGTGATTGGTCTTTGTAATTCTGCAATACTGTGTTTGTAGCCAAAGCTGGTCCAATAGAAAATGGTACACACAGTATAGGAGATTTTGTCTACTTAAATAATCAGTGACTTGAATTTAGTCCTAAGTAAAAATAACTATTCTGATTTTCCCAACGTTTTCACTTTTGGGTTTCCATTATTAATTTGTCTGAATTAATCATGTGCAAAGCTGTCTTTTATTATTAATAATAAATAGGTATGAAGATAGAGAAATGTCTTTGCTGCAGTCAAAATAGGTATATATAAACAAAGGTGAAACAGTGAACTTGGAACTGAAAATACTATGTATTCGGCAGCATGTTAGTTTTTATTTGGGTAACCCTTACAATTAACATTTTTTTTGTGCATTTAAACTGTACAGTATTTAACAGATTGCTATCACATGTGGAGGGGGAGGCTGTTAAAATGACTTTCAGGTCTCTGTGTCATTTCTTACTGCTTAGCATTGAATATTATATATACAAACTTAATTTCAACTATAGCTCTTTCAATTTTGTGGTGTTTAAAGTAGAATGGAACATCAGTTTAATTACTCATGCCAGTTTGCTTATAATATTCAGTATACTGTATAACATTTTTAATGATTTTACCTTTATCTACTTGAAGATGTTAAATTGTGTATTACATCCTATAGATTGACAACTTTTTTGCTATATGAGATAGAGATGTTAAATACTATGTAATTGAATAGTCGTGTAACCACATAAAATTTTAGTGGTTACACAACTATTCGACAGTGCTCCTGGTCCCACTCCCAGGGAGCACCATGCTAATCCACACTGCTGCCTCTCTATCAGAGGCAGCAGCGCTCGGTAGCAGGCAGGAGCCAGTCTGCAAGGGGAGCCAGTTTAAAAACCAGTTCCCTTTGCAGATCGGTGCCTGAGCTCCCTGAGGACAAAGGCTGGTACATGGCAGCAGCCCCTGTCCACGGGGAGCTTGGATGCCCTGCAAAGAGGGGCTGCTGGCATGGGGACAGGGTTTG